GGGGGCATTATTTTGTGTATAATAGTGTAGCCATTTGTGCGTGTATTTTGATTACTTAATTCATATCTATATTAGCTCTTTGTGGTTTTGTGTATTTATATCCGTACATTGATTGATATTTTGCGAAGCTGACGCTGGTAACATGTCGCAGTCAATTTCTTCCAATTTTGAACGAACAAAAAAATATTAACATGAGGTAATTACATGATCTGAAATGTAGACCGTACCTGTTCTCTCATATAATATAATAACAAACGGTTTTTTTAAAGGCAAAAACATCTGTTTAAACATAAAAACATACATGCAATAAGTAAGTAAGTCAGTGCATGGGTTCATCGTCTCTTTCAACACTGTTAGGTCAGTTAAGCGGCCGCACCTACATATTCAACGTCCAACTCCTATAGGACCGTGCCAGATGAGATGAGAGCATTTGAAACTCCACACAACGACCCGAGTTCAAGAATGCCTTGCTGGGGATTCGAACCAGGTCTGCTTATTCCGTAGTCCGACACGACATCTAGTGAGCCAACAGAGCGGTCAATTGGCAACATAACTATAACGTGTAGAATCTTCTTCCGGGGAAAGCAGAAGCAGTTGATTTTTGTTTGTTTTGTTTGTTTGTTTTTTTGTAAACTGAGAAATCAAGACAGTTGTAATTTTGTTTACAAAACGTGTTAGGCCCCGATTGATTGACAAAAGTTAGATTATTTAAGAGACGGGCTGCTTCGATAATGCCAAACCTTGAAAAAACTATGATCTACATTATGTCGAAAGGGGAGGGGGTGGGTGGGAGGGGCGTTGGTTATGCTATTATTTTGGTTTCCACTGAAAGGTCGTGTGTTCGAACCCCGTGAAGGATTCGAAATAATTGTGTCCATGGAAAAGGCACTCTCTCATCAAACAGGGAATGGGTACTCGGCTATAGAAGACGAACGATTTTGTCAGTTTGTTTGTGTTTGAGCGCAAAATCGGCAATGTTCCAGGGTCTGCTTGAGGATGTTGTGAATTGTAAAGCGCATATAACTTGCTGTTGTGTAGGGATGTGAGCTTCATAAATTATGCTGTTTACTGTATATCGTTATCAAAACTTTAAAATCAGTCAACAAAGCTGCAAGAGGCAAAGGAGTAAAACCGTTAAAGAGTTTTATAAAATTCTGTACTCGATAAACTTCGGCATATGTACTTACCTGTTATGATTACAGTCCTTCAATCTTACTACACTAACCAAGAGAATGTAAGCCAACGGTAAAGGTAGAAAGAGTCTCTTGAGGCCGTCAAAAGAGAAGCAAACAGCATTCAAACAGCATTAATGTCATTCATAACACATCGCGTTCCCTGAGCCTGTCAGCGAAGTTGTCCAAACCAGGGTACTGTGAACGCAGTTTAAATATTAACGCATGCCAATAATACTGATTGTCGGAGAGGCAGAAGATTATGCGCCGAGAGACGATATCGTTCAAGTTGAAAGTGAGACATCGTATGTACCTCAATCAACGTAATGAAAGTCTGGATTTGGCCCTGAGAGAGCGATAACTTGAATTTTCCCGGTGGGAGTGATGGAATAGTCATCAATAGCCGCGGGCGATAAACTATCTTTAAGAAGACTATGAATCGCGCAAGTCTCACACTTTGAGAGCGATTGTCAATTTCTGTTACACAATTATTGGCCTGTCAATAGGCTATAGTGTTGGCTGAAATCACATTCGTTTAGATGTTATAAAGATGTTTCTAATTTTAGCTGTTTCGATGATTGCTCTGAATAATAAACGGGGTGTGAAATTTGCGCATCAGACGAGAAAGAACATCAAAAGACAAAGAAAGAGACGCATCCTATGGAGACTTTAAAAAAATCATAATTCAACGTATTGGGAAAATAGATAATTATTTGATTTTTTTTGTTTTGTTTCGTTTTGTTTTGCTTCGTTTTTTGTTTTTTAAAATTTATTGTGATTTGCTTATCTGGACGACCCCATGGAAACAATTTAGCCCATTAAAGAGCGTACAGATTTGAACCAATCTGTGACAGCTTTCCTGGGCTGAAAGAGATGCATTGTCCCAGCAGAATGATCGACTAGAGGAAATGAACCTCACCGTACGGGATTAGAACCTATATTATCATCTTTTGCGTGCGACAGTGAAGAGCCTATCTTTACACCTCAGATGTTGATAACAAATATTCGATCGTGTCATGGCCAAAAGAAATAGGAGATGCAAATAGGTGTATTGGTTAGGTTCTGCGTCACAATGCACAGTAGACACAAGTTCTATTACCATTTTGTGAAATCAACATTTTTTAGTGCAAGTGCACTAGTCTGTCTGTTACTACATACATAAACACACACACAGACACGCATACACACACATACACACACACACACACACACATATATATATATA